TAACTGCTGTAATGGGCTCATCTGTGTCAGGAAGTATGAGGATGGTGCAAGATAGAAAAGAGTTCAGATCTTTTGTTCATAGGATCCACTGTGAGTAGTACTCAACTTGATGGCATCTAACAACATCATACCTATAATCACCCTGTCTTTTCAAATCCCCATTTAATATTTTCTAATTCTTTACCTTCCCTCCAACCACCAGCCTCTACTGTTCCAGTTGTTTTTTCTCCATCACTTTTTCTGTATCTTCTTTTCTTCTTCCCTTTCTCCTTTTGAACATTTATGTATCCTCTTATTGTCACACTAGTGACCTCATGTAATATTTGTCCTTACATTATTTGAGATATTCAACATACTGCTCTCCTCCAGTCTCAAGTTATATAGTATTTTATGGAGTCATTATTCCTTACTGTTGCATAGTATTTCGTCGTGTGATTTTACCATAATTTCTCATCTCATTCATTTGTTTATGGGCATATGAGATGTTTCAATTTTTTTTGCCATTGTGAATAACACTGCTTTGAACATAGGTGTACACATCTCCTTTCGTGTCTCAGTTCTCATTTCCTTGGGATAGATTTCTAGCAGTGGAATAGCTTAGTCATAAGGGATTGCTATGTTCAGAATTTTAAAGAAATGCCAAACTACCTTCCACTGCACTTGTGTATTTCACAATTCCACCAGTAGTGCATAAAAGTTCTAATCTCTCCACATACTCTTCAATATTTATTGTTTGCTGTGTTGTTAAACTTTGCTACAGCTGTTAGAGTGAGATAGTCTCTTCTTGTTTTTATTTGCATTTCTTTTCTTCCTAGTGGTTTTGAACATTTCCTCATGTGTTTCTTGGCCATCTGAATGCCTTCCTTTGTGAAGAGTCTTCATGTCTTTGCCCGTTTTGTGATTGGGTTATCAAGGTTCTTTTCTTGTATTTTTCATATTCTGTAAATTTATATAATAAGACCCTTGCCTGAAATGTTGCCAAAATTTTTTTCCAGCCTGTGGGCATTCTTATTACCATACATGAGAAAGTTTTTGATGTATGTAGGGATGTGATTTTTATTTATTGATTTTATCTTCTCCAAGTTGAGCACTTTTGGTTATGTTTACTTCTTTATGCCACAGGCCAGGGATTCTAATTTTGTTCCCATTTAGTCTTTATGGGTTTTTTTTTTTTTTTGTTGTTGTTGTTTTGTTTGTTTGTTTGTTTTATCCATAGGTCTCTAATCCACTTTGACATGGTTGTTGTGTTCAATATGGTATGTGGATGCTATTTCAGTTTTCTGAGGTAGATACCCAGTTTTGCCAGCACTCTTTGTTAAAAAGGCTGTAATTTCCCCATTTAATGAGTTTTATTACCTTGTCAAATATCGGTTGACCATATGTTGAGTTGATTTCTGGATTCTCAATTATATTCCTTTGATCTATATGCCTGTTGTACCAATTCCATGCTGTTTTAATTACTACAGCTGTGTAGTGGATTTTGAGATCAAGAGGTGATAAGCCTCCAACATAATTTTTATTTCTCAGAAGAGTTTTTCCTTATTCTGGGTATCTTTCCTTTCCAAATGAAACTAGAAATTGCCTTTCTGTCTTCATGAAGGATGAATTTGTTATCTCTATTGGGATTGCATTGATTTTGTACCTAAATTCACACAGTCATATGTGGAACACTTGTACAGACCCATCACAAGAGAAGAAATTGAGCAGGTCTTAAATAGGAGGCTGGGCTCCATGAAGAGAAACGTGACATCAGGATGCAGATGCCACAACCCTGCTTGCTGAAAATGAGGAGGACCTTAAGCACTTGCTAATGAAGGTCAAGTACTGCAGCCTTCAATATAGATTGAAGTTCAACATCAAGAAAACAAAGATTCTCACCACAGAGCCGACTGGCAGCATTATGTGAGATGGTGAAGAGAGTGAGATTGCTAACAGCTTCAGTATACTTGGTTCTACAATCAACACTGTTGATACAGCAGTCAGGAAATTAAAAGACTAACTGCATTGGGAAAGTCTGCTGTCAGAGACCTCTCCAAAGCACTGAAGAGCAATGATGTCAGTCTGGAGAATAAGGTGTGCTTGACACAGGTCATGATTTTTGCAATTACTTGCTATGCATCAAAAAGCTAGACAATGACTAGGGATGATAGAAGGTGAATTGATGCCTTTGCATTGTAGTACTGAAGAGTATTGATTATACTATGGACAGCTAGGAGAACAAACAGGTTCGTCCTGGAGAGGGTGAAGCCTGGCTGCTCCTCGGAGACAATAATTCTGAAACTTTGTCTGACATGCTTTGGACATATTACAAGGAGGGACCAGTCCTTGCTTGGGAGGATGGAGAGACAGCGCAGGGGAGGAAGACCCTTGATGTGATGGATTGATTCAGTGATTGAGGTAAAGGGGGTAGGTATGTTGATGACAATAAGATTGGCACAGGATAGAGCAGAGTTTAGGGCTGTTGTACATAGGGTCTCTATGAGTCACAGGTGACTCAATGGCACATAACAATGACGATGACAACAACAACAACAACAACAACCAAAATATCTGGGCCCAGATGACTTCATAGGTGAATTCTACCAAACATTCAAAGCAGGAGTAACATTACTTCTATTTAAATTATTTTCCAAAAATTAGAAAAAGAAGGAACAGTCCCAAAGTCAAGCTATGAAACAAGTGTAACCCTAATACAAAACCAGGCAAAGACAACACACAACAAAGAATATAGACCAATATCTCTTATGAACATAGATGC